GGGGGGGGGGGGGGGGTAGCGTAGCAACTACGTTGTGAAGTTGTCCCCAGTCAAACTCTTAATTTCAATGCCAGATGTTAGCAGTTACGTCCAACTTTAGCTTCTTAGCATCTGGCCCTTTTGTTTACAAAGCTGTCTCAGTAAAAACTACGCCTTCTTTCGGGTTAGGCGCTCGTGATTTCTTATGCAGGTCCCAAAGGCAATTAACGCAATTTGCAGCATACATAGCTTTGCACTTAAAATTACTGTATATAAAAAATCTTATATTCGACAATAGTTTCCATTTAAGAATGCTCATATTTTTTCAAGAACCACGTTGTCATCACTTCTTCCATTGCTTTCGTTTAGAAGTTGTTTACTTAGTCAACTTACAACATTTCCCTTAAACAGCCTTCCATGGGTGACAAACTGTAAATGAATCACTGCACGAAAAATTGGATTTACACAAATTTACTTGGTGCAAATATGGTGCAAAAATGTGCAAACGAGTGGGAAATCAAAAGCAAAGAAGTAAATACCGCATTTGCTTGCCAGTTAACACGGAGTTGTAAATTTTAGGGCAAGGCGGTATTTACCATCTTCGCCCTTTATTTAACCTTAGTTTGCAATTTTTGCACCAAATTTGGACGGAGTAAATTTGGTGTAAATCAATATAGTGTTGCTCTTCTAAATAGCTAAATGCAGTAGCTGTTCATCATAATTTTCATAGTCATTTTACCGGTTAAATGATCGTGATCCACAGCTCATTTCCGGGCTAGTTTAAACTAAAAAACAAGTTTTAGGAAGTTATCAAAGTCTTGTGTCACTAAAAAGGTAAACCACGATGTGTTAAACATCGTAAAATAACTCTTAGCAGCAATAACCAGATATGTTGAGGTTACGGCAAGCTGTTGACGTCATAAAATTCGCAGCTGCCTCCTACTGGAACTGAAACTCTGTCTTCATACCGGGTAGTATGTGTCAACCCATCGCCGACTGCGAGAATGTCAAAATGAACAAAACAAAAGCTCCGCAGTTTGTTCATTTCTGTGACGTCTACTGCACGATTACGATTGCTCCATGCAAGATAACGCGGTTCCGGCCGGGAATCGGGGAACTGTTTTCTTGTTAATTCTAGAATTCTTTGCTTTGGAATCCGCAATTCAGCTCAAGGGATCCGGAATCCCGCTAACAATTGGAATGGGGGATACAAGTTTTAATAGCAAGGAATCCAGAATTCATTAGCCGGAATCCGGAATCCAGAGCGTGGAATTCAGAATTGTCGAGGCGATATAAAGGCACAATGGATCCAGCAATAGAAGAGGTAATACAGGACGGAGCGCAACAGATTGAGCGTTGGATAGAACATTTTTCTAAGCTGTATGCCGGAGAGAAAAGGTGTCTGGAGTAGCCCTGAATATATAGAGTGCATGCCGCTTATTCTCTTGTTCAACTCACTATCGAGTGAGAGACTGTTTGTCGGCTAGAGGAGCGGAGGTCTATTAAATCATGAACAACTTCAAGCTGCTGGTCAAATATTTTGATGTTAGGTGGACTTGTGACATCTTGCCCCATTCCTTGATAGGAAGACCGAAGTCCTCGCAAGCAGCGCTAAAGCGATTGATGAGTTTTTGTAGCTCATCCTCAGAGTGTGTAGTAATTGCTGCATCATCGGCAACAAGAAAAGGTAGGAGCCACAACACCCATGTTTCACTCCATTTCGTACGTAGAAAGTATCAGAAGTAGAGCCATCAAAAACCACAATGTTTTATACTGAGGAGTTTCGGTGGGCAGCCAGTTCTCGGGGGGATTCTTGAAGAGCCAATCTCTGCATATCAGGTCAAAAGCCTTGGTGAGGTCACTAAATGAGATGTACAGTGGCTATCTCTGTTCTCTACGTTTCTTCTTGTAGTCATCTGATGGAGAATATCATATCAATTGTGGATCTTTTGGCACGGAAAACAAATGTGACCCTGGATAAAGTCTCGCTGTAAACACTTGAAAAATCTTCAAGGCGACTCGACCCAAGAGTTTTTCACCGATGCTGAGGAGTGAGATGCCTCGATAGTTGTTGCATTCTCCCCTGTCTCCCTTGTTTTTGAATAGAATGACTATGTTTACGTCTCTCTTGTCTTGTGGTACCTTTCCCTCCATCCAGCACAGAAAGAAGATTTCGCAGAACCCGGTGAAGGCATCGCCTTTGCAGCATTTCAGGATTTCAGTTGGAATACCATCCTGACCGAGAGCTTTTCCAGATGCAAGCGACCTCAGGGCTTCTTTCAGCTCCTCTTTAGTAGGTTCACTATACAGCTCCTCCAGAACAGGAGGGCATAGAGCATGCGTGTTGAGCACCCTCTTTTATCGCAGTGAGTCCTGGACTCTTCATGCCCGCCAGGAATGCAAACTCGACGCAATTCACACGCGCCGCCTCAGACGCTTGCAAAACATTAAACGGCAGGACAAGGTGATGACCAATAACGAAGTCCTGGAAAGAGCAAACCTGCCAAGCGTCGTTTCACTGTTAAAGCAGAAACGAATTTACTGGCTTAGTCATGTTGTCCGAATGGAAGATGACCGAATACCAAAGGATCACCTTTATGTCTCTGGGAACTCGCCTCACGGGCAGAACACAGCTTCGCTACAAGGATGTCTGTAAGAGAGACCTTAAAGCCCTGTAGATC